TCAAATATAGTGTCAAATAAACAAGGGTTCTCAAATTACGGATGGATGTGGGTAAAGAAGTTAGTCCATGAAACTAATATTATGATAGAATCTTGAAATATAAGTACTCTCACAGGTAAATTGATGAAATTGGTTGAATTATGATTCATAGAAAAATAAATATCTTATGTATTCAATAAACTAAATGGGTTGGAAACAAAACTAAGAAGATTGATAACTCTAATTTTAAACTTTGGTATTCAAGTAAGAGTCGCACTACAAATGGTGTGGGTGTAATTATAAATAAGAGTTTGAAAGATAATGCTGTAAAAATTAATAGAATTGAAGAAAGAATTAATCCTTAAGATTATTGTTAATACTAAGATGTTTAAAATTATTAGTGCTTATACTCCTCAAATAGGTTTAAATATAGGTTATAAAGATAAATTCTGGAATGACCTGGAAAACTTAATACAAATGATATCTCTTAAAGAAAGAATTTTTATTTGAGAAGATTTAAATGGACGTGTCGGTAGAGTGATGGAAGATTTCAGAAATATTCATAGTGGCTACAGTTTTGGAGGGATTAATGAAGAAGATAGAGTCATATTAGATTCTGCCTTAACGTATAATTTTGTTATTGTTAATATTTTATTCAAGAAAAGAGATGAGCATATTATTGCTTAAGAGAATGGATCTAATAAAACACAAATTGATTATTTTCTTATGAGAAAAGATCACCAAAAATGTAAAGATTGTAAGATCATTCCAAGTGAGAATTTAAGTACTCAATGATGATTATTAGTTCTAAAATTTAAGATGACGAGTTGTAAAATGAAGAATACTATAAATTATTGTCGTATAATTAGATGAAGGCATCTAAAAGACAAATAAAATTATTTTTATGAGTAAACTTCAGAATTTCAAGATTTGGGATATTCATGGAAAAGCAAATTTTATGTGAGATAAAGTAGCAAATACTATTAAACAAGTGGCAAAAGATATACTTGCAGAATCAAAAGAAAAAATTTTTATAAACAAAACTAGTTGGTGGTGGAATATTAATGTGTCAGAAAAGAAAAATATAAGAAGTTATGTTATAAAAATTTGTTTAAATGTAAAAGCATGGAGAACTGGGAAAAATATAAAATAACATGTAGAGAGTCTAAGAAAACAATCTGTTAAACTAAAAATTTTGTTTTTAGTGATCTTTATAATAGATTGGACATTAAAGAGGGTAAAAAATATATGTATAAACTAGTCAAACAGAGAGAAAAGAAAAACAAAGATTTAACTCAAGTAAAGTGTATTAAAGGTGAAAATCAAAAAAAAATTCTTAGAAAAAAGTATTCAACATAGGTGGATAAGTTATTTGGATAAACTTTTTAATAAAGTTTCTGAAAATACAATCGACCTTAGTGATCTTAAAATCGTTAATAATAATAAAATATTTTACTTTTACCATCATATTAGTAAAAAAGAAATTGATGAGGCTTTAAATAAAACGAAGGGTGGAAAGTCTATAGGATCTGATGATATCATAATTGAAGTGTGAAAATATATAGTAGATTTGAGAGTTTTTTGGCTTACTAAAATCTTTAACAATATTTTAAAAACTAAAAAAATGTCTGAAGAGTGGAAGAAGAGTATTTTGGTCCCCATTTTTAAGAATAAATGGGATACACAAGAGCGTGCAAATTATATAGGAATTAAGTTGATATGAAATATTTTAAAATTATGAGAGAGGGTAATTGAAGATAAGTTAAGATGTATTACAAAGATTTCTCATAATCAATTTGGATTTATGTCGGACAGGTCTACTAGAAGGTATACATTTATTGAGAGGTTTGATGGAGATGTTTAGTTAGAATAAGGAGCATCAACATATATTTTTTATTGTTTTAGACAAAACTTATGATAAGGTTCCAAGAGATATCCTTTGGAGAGTTCTAGAGAAAAAATGTGTTATGACTTATTATTGAAGTCATTACAGATATGTATACTAGAGTTGTTCCTTCTGTTCGAACAGAAGGAAGAATTACCAAATATTTCATGTTTCAGTTGGATTACATCAAGGATCAGCTTTAAGCCCATATCTTTTTAATTTAGTTATGGATGCTCTTACCGGAAATTTACAGGAGGATGTACCTCGGCGTATGTCATTCGCTGATGATATCCTTCTTGTGGATAAGATTATAGAGAAATGTCAGGAAAAACTTAAATTATAAAGGTTTTCATGTAATTTTAGTAGTAGTAGCTCTAGTGACAGAGTTGTAACTATGAGTGATCAAATTATTAAAAGGTGTGAACGCTTTAGACATCTCGGGTCTATTGCTCAAAGTGATGGTGATACAAATGAGGATGTTATTAGTAGAATTCAAGTTGGTTGAAGTGGAGGAATGCTTCGAGCCTATTTTGTGATAGAAAAGTACCGCTTAGATTGAAAGGAAAATTTTATAAGATGGCAGTGAGACCTATAATGCTCTATGGCGCTGAATGTTGATCTTTAAAACAGAACCATAAAACTAAGTTAAATGCTGTCGAAATGAGAATTCTTAGGTGGATGGGTGGCTTTACACTTAAGAGACAAAATGCAAAATGAATATATTTGTGATATGGTTGGTGTAGCTCCAATGGCGGCAAAATTAGAGAGAGTCGTCCTAGATGGTTTGGTCACATTAAACGTCAACCATCTGATGATCCGATTAGGAAAGCAGATGTTTTAGATTCAATTTATGTTAAGAAAGGCAGAGATAGACCTAGAAAGAATTGGGCATATTATATAAAAAATAATCTTAATTTATTAGAATTAAATAAAAATATGACACTTAATAGGACGCAATGGAGTAAAATGATTCATGTAGCCGACCCCACTTAGTGGGATAAAGGTTTGTTGTTGTTTTTGTTGTCCCTTTTATTAAATTTATTCTTTCCTTTTATTTTCCTTCCATAGTACCTTTATATATGTCTATAAATAGACACCATTATCCAGCAAATAAAATCATCATAATCCATTTCATTACAAAATCATTTCTTTCTTGAGTGATCTGATGCACAACTTGTGGATTTGCAAGGTGCCTGAAAGGAAATAAGGTAGAATTGTAAACGATCATGTTACGAAGTGTAGCACTAAAAAGATATTTTCACCAATTTTTAAATGCTTTATAAGTTTATAATGATATACTTGTTCCAAAATCACTTCAATTAAACATTTCCAAAACAAAAAGATCGTCCTTATTGTGGACTAACAAAAGCAGAAATTGACTGGAAACTGAGCTGGTCTGCAAATAAACAGTTTGCTGCAAAAGGAACACAAGTATTTAAAGGCTAATAACACAACAAGATAACAAGAAAAAAATTGTCTCGTTAATAAAAAGGATCTTAAGCCATGAACTTCTTGTTCAATAAGCCACTACTGCTACAATGCTATTAATGCATGGCAAACGAGATCGATTCAAGCTGAAAAGTATAAATAATTCGTCAACTGAAATTGAGGTTGAAGAAATTAAAACTTTCTAGTGCCCAATTACTTAACTAACAGCACTATCCAAGGAGAATAGCACATATCAAATACCAAATTATAATCTGACAGGTACATAACTAAAAAGCAAGATTTGGGTTTTTTTCTTCCTTTTTTAACGTAGCTACATAAGAAATACATATGATTAAGGGTTTACAAGCAACTCTACACAAAGGAAAAAGTTCATCATCCTAATAATAATTATTTGTTTTCATTCTAATAACTCAAATAACAGTAGTTACTCACAAGATATGGTGATATTATTTTCGGAAGGATTTTCCTGATGATTAAATAAATCAGATAAAAAAATAATTGCTTACTTCCTTACATTGAATTAAAATACTACAATGCATAAGGTTTTTGTTTGCAGCAACATGAAAATTACCTCACTTCAAGTTTAATTGTTTTGCTACACAATTGCCAAATTTACTTTAAAAATTCAGTTCACATCTTAAAACCCTAGCAAAGCAAATACAAGCCATTTAATCACATTAATCGGTCAAGATAGAGTTTACACTGGCAAAGATTTACATTAAAGAAAAGAGCCCAAAGTGATCTAAAATCAAAGATTTCATTTAACCTTTTCCTAAACAAATTTAATGTCCCTTTCAAATCCAATCGAATAAGAAGTTACATTAGACAACAGTTACTCTGATCTGATTTTAAAAAAACTCATCCGATAGTAACCCCTTCACTGTAGCAATTTTATTCTCTTAGTTTACAGAAAATTCCAGCAGATAAATTTGACATGACATATTACACACTAGATAAGCACGGGGCTCACATAATAACTTCATACAAACCATATTTGCACCCAACATGCAAATTATAATTACTAAGCTTGATCTTTAGAGGCATGGCTCTTCTCATTCACTACACATAATATTCCTGAAAAATGAATTCCCTTCAAGAATTTTAAAATCTCTCCCGATTCGGCTCAAAGCTCCCACCCAAATTCTCATACTTCCACAATCTTTCCATCTTTATGCAATCATGTTGAATCCCAAAGCTCTCACCCAATATCTTAAATTTCCACAATTCTTTTCTCATTGTGAATCCCATAGGGAACTAAACAAAAACGCAAATTGCAGTATAAACAATTCTTCCCTCATTAAATGCAGTTTGAACAACCAGCATCTTCAACTAAAAACAATCAAACCAGCAGCATGAAAGCTTCAGTAGGATCTCCCACTCCTCCAGCGTCAAAAAGCCAACTCTATTTAGCACAGACTCGGAGACATGAGGAAGATGAACAGTTTCATCGCCGAGTGAGATAGACCGCTTCTCTACCATTATAAAAACCTTGAGCTAAATCCACTGAATACAGCAATATCACATAAAACAAGGCGTTGTGCTGCAAATGGGTGACAAGGCATACATTACCCCGCCAGAATAAAAGTTCGATGCACTCGAAAGAAATACATGTAGATAACAATAAGAAGCTAAACCATGCGATGCGAAACAAAAAGAAAGGGCGTGTTTGCAAAAAGATTCTCGATACCTTTGAGCGTTGAAGTTGTTCTTTGTAAGACACGACTGGATATCGCAGGCCTCCTTCTTGCATGGCTCTTGGCTCTTCTGCTTCCCTGCCATGTAAAGACCAATGGATCAACACCGGAGTGGATGAGAGATACGTCGCAGATTATAAATGGAGTCTCTTTCAGCCTTCTTCTGCTACTTGCTTCCAGGAGATGAACAATCCAGCGATTCAAATGGAAATAGAATTCCAACGGGAATATGTAATGAACCCTAATATTGGCTTGCGTGTAAGTGGCGGCCGAAATAGCAGGATAAGCGCACAATCCTCCGCAGATGTTCGGCTTATTGCATTGGCGGTAGGCTGCAAGCCCGCAAAAAAGTGAATTTTGCTTGGTTAGAAAAGAGAGGGATTCTTTCTATAAATACCGCCCAACTCCGATTAGTTTGCATATCTAACCCCTAAATTTTGCTTTTTGCATACAAACACAAGTATTAGATCCTTTAAAACTGAGAACACTTTTCCTGTTTATGTAAAATGACATCTTTGTAAAAAATTTGAAGTTTAGATCTCATATATGTAAATACATAAGAATTGAGTAGTATGCATGTAAATCTTTCCCAAATAACACCAATTTGATTTTTTTTTTCTTTTAATTAACTTGAATGTTCAGGGAACATTTTACTGTGCTCAATTAGATTCATCAAATCATAATGTTGAATGTAAAATTGTTCGGGAGTCATATGCAAGGAATAGAGTGTTAAAGAGAAGAGAGTAATAAAGAGAGGAAACAGTAGTGAATTGTAAAAATCGTGTAACCTTCATTCAAAAAGTGGCCCCCTGTTTATAGACATAGGGGGTGAAGTATTAAGATTACATTTATGCTCTTTAATCATTAGTTCTGCATGGGATATTTTAATACATTACACATGTGTAAGATATATTGGCTGGTGTGGATTTTTCTGGTTGGTAGGTTGTTGTCGATCGATGTGGCTTGGGTCGATCATCTTGTCTTAGTCTGATCAGTAGGTCTTAGGTTGATCGTTGCACCTTAGGTCGATTGGTCATATGTTTGATTGTACAGATTCCTTCGTTGTTGATTGGAGGTTGACAGTTGTTCGAGGGATTCTTTTGTTCGTCATTATCATGTTTGGTCGTCGAATTGCCTTGAGATATGTGTTGGCATATTTTTCGCATATATGTTTAGTTTCCTGATTTCCTTAATTCTTGAAAACCTTGTTGTGAAAAGAATAATGGAATTTTTTCCAAAGATAAAAATACAAAAGCATAAATCCAATTTATGATGAAATAATTGCTTAAAAATTGAATTGTCTAGACTTCATTGTACAAGCTGTTATAAATAAACTACAAGGGAGTTAGGGATCATGTGTCCTCTCTCTGTGCGGTAGGTCTGCCAAAACGGCTCGTTGTTCGCGAACAGCTCGTGTTCGGCTCAAACAAGCCGAACACGAACAAAAATTTGCTCGTTCATGTTCGGCTCGTTTTGGCTCGAAATAGTTCGGCTCGTTCATGTTCATTTGAATCTACTCATCAAGTATATATATATATATATATATAGATAGATAGAGTAACTAGAAATGAAGATGACTATTTTTAAAAAAATTAATTGACTGCAAAACTACAAAGATTTATAATCAATTAAAATTATTAATTAAGAAAATAGAATAAAAATTATTAAATTAGATTCAAAATAATGTTTTAATATAAACAATAATTTTTAGATCTTGTCCCCATCCTTAACATCTTATGGCTAAGTGATTAGAGTTGTCAAAATGACTCTTTATTCGTAAACGGCTCCCGTTCAGCTCGCTAAGCAAACGAGTTGAACACAAGCTGAGCTTGGGTTCGCTCGTGTTCGGCTCATTTACACATCTACTGTGTGGTATCTCAATTGTTTGGACCTTCTGCGATGGCTGGTGAAGGAGCACTCGGGGCTGTATCTCATGACTGCGACGCACTAATCAGCGTTCAGGGGCTTGAGAGCCTAGGCTCGAAAGGAAGGAAAAATAAAGAGAAAACAAATGAAGGAGAAACTTAATGGGTAAACAGGAAAAAAAGAGGGTAGTGAAAGAAGATAAAAATTACTAACCCGGAGGATCATATAGTGTCCTTTAACTCGCCCATTGGGTCACAGCAGGAAAAACTTCGGGAGCAACACAAAGGGCGATCGATTAACCCTCTGGCGGAGCCTGCGATTCTGGCCCATGATCTTGTGGACATAGCCAAGGTTCTCATCTACCATACTCCTTGGGACCTTCAACTACTAAGGTCAACAAGATGGCCATAAGTGACTCCCCACCCAAACTATCGAGATATAAGGTTTCCCCTCCAGTCGAAGGATTGAGAAAAATTGTTGAGGGTGAAGTGTCTTTCAACACGTTCGATTAGAATCAAATTGTTGGTATGGGATTCTGATTTGGTTAATATCTAAGTTTTTTTTTTTCTATTTATGATGTTTTTTGATGTTGTCGTTGAGATCTTGACTATCAACTCTCTTTCCTCAGATCTCGGTGGTAATCCAACAAGGGACGATGCGTCTGTAGACCCGGTGTTGGCTAGAGGTTACAAACTTCATCACGAAGAACAAGAGTCGAACTAACATGATAATCCCAACAAGCTCGGGGAGAAGTCAGTCGAGGGACCCCAAATATCTTCCGGCTCTTTTGCGCACCGTCTTAGAGAGATGGAGGAACATTTTGCTCTAGCCGTGGGGCATCCTCAAGGAGATGATGTACAGGGAGTCGCTACAAGCATGGAGAGGGTGGACTGAATGGAAGTGCAGGTTGCTACTCTATGGAGGGAGTTTGTGGCTCTTTGAGGGGAAATGACTCTCATCTGTGAAGAGATGGTGCCCCCCTGCTTAGAAATAACGTGATTCGAGAAGCCTCCTGACACGCTCCAAGTTATACAAAGCACTGGCCATTCGCGCAAGTATAATTGGCGTATCAGTAGTATTAGGTTGGAGTCTGATTGTTGATCCTACTAAAAATTAGAAAAACCCAATTGCAAAAAAGTTATAATATACTTATCTTAACTCTAGCCTGAAAGGTTTGACAAGCAAGTTGAAATGAATATCTATTTTGAAGCAGAAAAAAGCAAGTCTATCATAACAAGCCAAAGAGAGTTTGTAAGAAATTCAAGTTTTAAGAAATTCACCCCTTGAGATGATCTAGTGGAGAATATAATTGCACGAGTGATTAAAATTTAGTGTCAGACAGGAGTTGGCCTTTTCCTTATTCCTTTCCGGTGGTCTAAGGAAATTTGACTGTCGAGAGTTTAGTTTTCTAAATTCCTTGATCAATTCAAGTAAATAAAATCTCCCAAAACGCAAGCATAAACTCAAAGGCAATTTTCCTATTTCAGAGAGTTTATGTGGTTAACCGCTTTTGTTCCACTATGTATCCTTCTGAATCACATTGTTCACGAAGGATATTAATATTCCTACTGACCAAGAAGCAAGTAAATTAAACAAATTTGCTAACTCAACTCTAATATGATAAATTTTCATGCAAATCACATAGAAAGTTTCAACAATATCCTTCAACCATTCAATTCAAGGGAGAAATAAAGGATCCATTGGCTCTTCATAATGAAAACCATCCACTCAAACTTGGAATTAAACATAGAAATCATACACAAAGTTTTCACAAAAATTCAACAAAAAATTCCAAACCAAAGTGTACATATCACCTAGGTACTTATCTCCATCTTTCACAAAAATCATATACAAAGCAAGATGGACAAAAAGAAACAAGCAGTAAATACACATTTTAATCCTCTCAAATCTCTCTTTTTTACACCCTATATGGCCTAGACACTACAATTGAAGCATCGGGTTTTTGTGCACTCAAAAAAATGGCCCAAATAGTTCAGCTCTTGGTGCCTAAACGTCCATCTTGGTGTCGGGGAGCCCAATCTCCAACACCTAGGAGCCACCTTTGTGGCACTCAGTATTGGCTCAAACTATTCTTGGCGCCTAGGCACCAATTTGCTCATTTTTGCCTTTTTTTCAAATTTTGGTTACTCCCTCACCTAATTCATGCAATACAACACCAAAAACCTTCCAAAAAGCATAATATAAAAATACAAAAAGGTAGAATTAATATGATAAAGAAGCACATCGCATTCACATGTCAAAATCTCCCAAACTTTAAGGTTACTTGTCTTCAAATAACTCTAAAGACTAAAAAATGATTTTTGAGAATTTTATAGAGATTTGAGCAGTAGTTATGAACCAAATGCAATCTACACTTCAAGATTACATATGAATCAATGAACATAATTCTTCAAGGTTTTTCCTTAGAGTCCTAAATTCTCCACTGGCTATCTAAATCTATAAAATCGTCTTAAGAAACTAGTTTGAGGCTGAAATAATGTAAATAGATTTAACAATTATAAGTGTTCAGCCACCTATCATTTCTGGTTAATCCACTTTTCAATTATAAACATAAAACTAGTTTAAATTACAGTTGTTAATGAATCTTTAGCCTTAAGAAAAGATATTGCAACAAATTAAGTAGAGCTACATCTCAAGCTTCTCCCCAAAAGTTATTTAAACTCTTTTTTTTCTCTTTGATGGTGAGCTTTTCCTTAGATTTACCACATTTTTTAATCTTTTTTATTTTCATTCCCATTTTTTTATTCATCACTGGGGATTACTGCATCTAGATTAGCTCTTAAGAGATTTTGAATTGCAATATCCATTCCAAAAATTAAATCGATTGCTGGGTATCTAAATTAACTTATTTATTGTTCATCATTTCTTCTATAATTTTATGAAGTCTTTTCCATTTTTTAATCCTCCTAATAGTTCTCTCTAGTTTTGAATCATAAGGTTCACGTCCTTTAGGTCTTGAACTACGCATTCATTGACTAAAGACTCAACTAGTAGGTTTCAGACAAACATAATAAGCAAGCACATAAAAATATTTTAATAATTTGTCCTTTCCAAACAAATAAGCAATTACACGCAAAGACTAATAATACAAATTTCCATGTCTAGGTTAATTAGTTCAACTAAAATTCTCTTGAGTTAACTACATCGTCGCTTCCCGAAAACAACATCAAAAACCTAATACACTCTATTTCCAAATGTAGAGGTATCATGCAAGTGTATTTGTCGTATCAGTAATATCAAATTTTGAGTCTGGAATATCGATCCCACAGGGAGTGAGGGAATTGAACTTAAGAGAAGTCCTGGCCTACTAGGTTTAGTTCTTAGCCTGGAATTGAAATTAAGTGAAGGTTCTACAAACTACATTTATTGAATTGCAATCTTGTTTAAAGGTTAAATCCTACGGAAATATGACTTCTCTTAATTGGATTGGTGATTATCAAGTTCTAAAGCTACCTTCCCTTGT